CGCCAGCCCCGATCCGGAGCCCAAAGCCCGGCCGGGCCCCCCCAGCCCGCCCCGCTCCTCCCTCGGCTTCGCTTTGGGGTTAAGCCCGGCCTGGAGCCCAATCTTCAGCCTCAGCTCGGCCTAAGCCGCGCCTAAACCTGCGCGCTTTGGGGTTTTCTGCCTTTCCACCCCAATCCCCGTCCAACATAAATTTTAAAAACCGGGACAGTGTGGGGAGGGGAAAGAGCGATTTCTAAAATTCTTCCCGAGGTGTCAAGTTGCGCCCGAACTCTGAGCTGGGCTCAGGCGCGACTTTGGCGAAAGAAAATAAATCTCGCTCCTTCCCCGCTTCCCAAAATACTCCAATTCCCGGAGTTTTCCGGGGGAAAAGCCCCGGCCCCGGCCCCGCCGCATTCCTGCCGCCGTAATTCAATTATTTGCCGGGATGGGGGGGAAGGAGCCTGGGAATAAAGTTGAAAATTAAATATTTCTGCTCTCCCGGCGCTGGGGGAAGGTGAGACCCCGGGAGCCGAGCCCGAGCCCTCCTTCCCCGCCGCTCCGGGGTCACCTCGCCGGCAGGAAAATCCCGCACTTCAAACGCCGCGTTTGTTTTCCCTCCTTCCCCCGCCCGGCTCTGCTGGAATTGGGGGAAGATTCGGCACTTTCAGACAAAAAAAAAAGAAAAAAAAAGGAATAAATTCACTTTCTCCTGCAGCTCCGGGCACGCAAAGTGCATTATTATTATTATTATTATTATTATTATTATTATTATATTAATTTTGAGAGGGAAAGGCTGCGGCCGCACCCGGGGTCTGTCTGGGGTGGGGGTCAGGGGGTGACAGGGACTGTCCCCACCAGGGAGGGGACATCCCTGTCCCCACCCATCACCCCAAAAATCCGCTCCAGGAGTGGTCACCTGGGCCAAATCCTTCTTTGGGGTTAAATTTGAAAATTTTTCCTTTTTTTTTTTTTTTTTTTTTTTTTTTTCCCAGTTTTCCCATATTCTCCCGGCTCTGCCTCGTGGACAAAAGCCGAGGCCGGTTCTCTGGATTAGAGCCGGCATCCATCGGGATGCGGAATTCCCGGAGCTTTCCCGGCGGGAATTGCGCTCCCCACCTTCCCGGCGCATCTCCATGGTTTCCTAAGGTATGTTCCTGCTCGATAAATGCCGCGATTCCCGCGGGAACGCGCGCTGGGATCGGCCTGGGATTATTTGGGGTTTTTTAGGAGCATCCCGTTATCCCCCGCATCCCTCGCGGGAAGGTTTCCAACTCGGATGCGCGCTTGGAAAGGCGGATTTTTGGGATAAAAGGACTCCACATCCCATTTTCTCCACGGAAAAGACGCTCTCAGGTTGATTAAACCCGTCTGGAAAATCTCCCCAATGAGCGATTTTATTTATTGCAATTCTCCTCAAAAAACCCTTTTAAAATTTTCTTTTTATGAATTAGGATTCTCCCCAAAAAGTCCTTTTCTTATTTTTAAAATTTTATTATTTTTTAGGGATGTCATCCCATTTCTGGAGCGGGCACACCCAGGAAGGAGAAATTTCCCTGGAGAATCACTCAGGGGCTGCTCAGGAGGAAAACCCGAAGGATTCGATCCCGATTTTCAACACAAGGACGGAAAAAGCAAAACCAAACCAAGCCCAAAAGCGCCCGGGGATGAATTCTTTAAGGAAAAGTTGGTTCCTCGCGCAGTTCCAGGAAGGTGATGGATGTGGGAAGGTTTTCCGTGGGAGACCCCGCGGTGACGAGAGTTATTTTCCCAAGAGATTATCCCGGGAATCTCCCTTTAAAGGGAGAGAAATCCACCTTGAAAAACGGGGATTGAAAGGAAAATATTTCTGCGGGACTTCCGCATTTTTGAGGAGTTTTTCAGCGCCGGGAGAAGCCGGGACCGGGAGGGCTCCGGGTCCCGGGAAAGGCGGCGAGGGGAGAAGGAGCTCGGGAGGTGGGAAAATAGTGATTAATGGATTAATGAATTCAATGAATTCTCTTTTTCCAGGAGCGGGGGATCCGGGAGTGTCCCAGGAATGTCCTCAGCAGTGTCCCAGGAGTGTCCCCAGCAGATCCCCAGGGTGATCCCAACTGTCCCCAGTGTCCCAAGGAGATCCCAAGTGTCCCCAGAAGATTCTGGGTGTCCTCAGGGGTGTCCCCAGGAGATCCTGGTAATGTCCCAGGAGATCCAGGGTGTCCCCAGGTGATCCCAGGACTGTCCCCATCAGATCCTCGGTGTCCCCAGGAGTGTCCCCAGCTGATCCTGAGTGTCCCCAGGTGATCCCAAGCGTCTCCAGGAGATTCTAGGTGTCCCCAGGAGTGTCCCCTAGCAGTGTCCCCAGGTCACCTCAAGTGTCCCCAGGAGTGACTCCAGGAGATTCTGGGCGTCCCCAGGATCTCAAGTGTCCCCAGGAGTGTCCCAAGGAGATCCCGAGGACCCTCAGGTGATCCCAAGTGTCCCCAGGAGTGACTCCAGGAGACTCTGGGCGTCCCCAGGAGTGTCCTCGGAGTGACCCCAGCAGATCCAGGGTGTCCCTAGGAGATCCCACGTGTCCCCGGCAGTGTCCCTAGGACTGTCCTGAGGAGTGTCCTAGGAGTGTTCCCAGCAGACCCCGAGTGTCCCCGTCCGATCCCAAATGTCCCCAGGAGATTCTAGATGCCCCCAGGGGTGTCCCCAGGAGGTCCCGGTGTCCCCGGTTTGTTTTTCCCAGACCCCAAACCCAGGATCGAAGTCCCGGGCGGGGCTCAAAGGGCGGAGCGGCCCCGCCCTGGGTCGGGTTTAACTCGGCCTGGAGCCGTTCCCTGATCCAAGCCCGACATCTCTGGGATGAGCCGGGAATTTTCACGGGATAAATCCCAACCGCGAGGCTGCAGCGGCCCCGTTCCCGCTTTGGACCCCGACGCTCCCGATCCCACAGAATTCCCGTCCCCGCTTTTCCCAGCTCGGATTCCCGGAGCGGGGTTAAATCCCCTTTTCCCGAGGCTCGGCCCCACTCCGGGCGCCGCTGGGGTTTTCCCGGATTTCCCGGGATCCCGGGGCTCGTCCCGCCCGGATCTGTCCCTGGAATAACGCCTGGAATCCGGAGCCGGGGGAGAGGGGATTGTCCCGGGATGTGCCCAGCGAGGGTCTGAGATTCCCAAGAGAATCCCAAGAGATCCCAAGCGGCTCTGGAGAAGGGGCAGGGCTGGGAAAGCCCGGGGTGGGGGAAATTTGGATCGGGATTTCCGGGGAGTTTTCTCCTGGACATCTCCAGCCTCTTGGGATGGGATGGGATCCATAAAAATCCACAATTCCCTAATTCTCGCCCCTTCCAGCTGCATTCCCACCCCAATCCCCGTTTCCACATCATTCCCAAACCGTTCCAGCCGCATCCATGTGGGATTCCCATTCCAATCATCTCCATGGGACTGGGGCCTCTCCTGCTTTTTGGGGAGC